CGTTAACACTGTTGCGGCCATTATCTTCTTTTACTTTATTTAATTTTTCTCTAATAAGGCAGAAAAGTAGAAAGGAGAAAGATTGTATTTATTTTGCTGCGACCGATAAGTATAAGTGTGAAAAGTTCTTTTCACCGATAAGTGTAAGTGTAAAAAATTAAATAAAGTAAAAGAAGATAATGACCGCAACAGTGTTAACAGTAAGAGGGTAACAGTTCTGATTAAAAAATATTTCAATCCATTTTTATGTCCATTTTTGCATAAAGATATTATTAAAACGTTTTTATTAATATTAAAATTGATAATTAAAAGAATTCTTGGAGATTTAAAATTTTATTTTCGATAGTGAAAAGAATTAACTTAAAAAACCATCTTGGTCAAATCGGAACTCGGATGACGGCGGAACGGGGGGCACTCTTGACAGTTATTTCATTTTACAATTTTCTTATGTGAAAGTACAACTAATATCAAATTGTAATCTAAAAAGGTGCTTCCTGGGTAGAAAATATCATGCTCATTGCAAAAAGTAATTATTGATTATTTCGGAGCTACGTGAACGCGGCCGTGGCAATGCTGAGACGCGCGGCGACTCACTCACGCACACTAGTAGACGCGTGGCTCACGAACGTGCGTCCGTTTAAAAAGCGATGCGGATTCGCTAATTTTTAAATAATAATAACTACTTTGTGAGGCGTGACTCGAAAAAATGGTTCGGGACTCTTCGACTCAGTTTTTCATGAGAAATATCACTATATAAATGGTGGGCGCGAATTAGAATACACCCTGTATACCCTCACGCAAAGCGATGCTTTATTTAAATTGTAGAACAGAAGAGTTAAGAATCTTAAATGTTTTATCAAATGTTACGTAAATTCTGTTTATGCAGATAAAAAGAAAAAGATACACGTACACGGAAAAAAATAATTTTGCTGTGATAGCAAAATCGCCGTTGCTACTGCATATGCGTAGTAATAGCAATAAAATTTAGTTGATAGAACTAATTTTACGAATTATTCGTCATTATAGCAAAATCTATTTTGTTGCGAGAATAGAACAAAATTTGCTGAGTGTATTTGTAATTACAATCACATAAATTTGCTACTGAAGCAAAATAATATATTCTTAGCAAATACATTTGTTGTCACAACGAAATCCCGATACGCCTGATTCCCTCCTGAATAGATAGCACTAGTACCACATACTGCCGCGACGTGGCGACCGCGCGTCTTTCTCGTAAGTAAAAATCGTCCCGTATCAGTATAAAAGGTGAGCCGATATGATGCGAGAGCGAGTTGTCTGGATCATGGATAGACCTCAATAACCTGAATATACTTTTGATGACTATGTGATTTAACACAATTTCACACAATTTAACAATTAGTTACAAAGTGAATTTTTTAATAGGAAGCCTATTGATACCCCACCCCATATTAAAAACTGTAAGGAGCAACAAAACCCTACTAAAATGTCTGCTCGGGATAATTTGTTAATCCAGCAAATTATATCCAGCAAATTGCGATTAGTATTTGTAACAAATCTTCTTGTTGTCCATATAATAACGAACAGATTTTGCTACAATAGCAAAAAATCTGCTGTATCAGCAAATTATTTTTCTCCGTGAAGGTCGATCGGAGCAAAACCGCGTTATCGAGTAGTCATCGAGTACTAGTAGAGAGTGTTACGTCCATTTATTAAACGTATCTACTTGTAAATAAGCTCCATAAAGAATGTCTGTAATAATCGTATAATAATTTCAAGATTCTAGATTTCTGACACATAGAATGTATAACATACACGTTACACATTCTCTTTGTATACAATACGTACATGTATACAATTAATGTATTATTAATTATAAAAAAGTGCACATGTTGGAAAATTTGCGAATATCTTATTGTAACGTGGTAAAACATGATATTGTTTCATTAATATGGTGTTCTCGTGATTAATTAAATCGGTGGAAGGGCCTGGAAATAAAAAGAAACAAGTATACTTTCGTTTATGTTTTATATCAATTTTGAAATGCAGAGACCATTAAACGTTAAGCGTCTGCGTTCGCGTTTGCGTCTACGATTGTCTCTGGACCAATCAGAAAGGAATTGCTGACGATTGCGATTCCCGTTTAGCCGGCCGTCTATTTTCAAACGCGTTAAGCGGGGAGCACACTCTTTTGCATAAATGCATAACGAATTTGATTGGTCCATTTCCTTATGCATTTGCTTATAGACCAATCAAATTCGTTATGCATATGCTTACGCACTTATGCAAAAGTGTGTGCTCCCCGCTTTACGCCTATTTTCAAGCACTACCGATAAAGTCTCCGCTTAATTGGTTTAAATAAAGTCCAGCCGATATGTTTTCAAAGGAGTGAATAATTCAGTGACATACAACTGTTTTCAGTGATAATGCACTGATTGACGTTCAAAGAGTAGGGTAGACCGAGGCGAATCGGATCACAGGGCGAATCGGATCAAAATAAGAAATCTGTTGATATTTTAAATATCGCATTGACACGGAACGCACCCAACTGGTTTTTTACGCCCCCCCTCTCGCCCCGCACCACCCGACATAGATAGTCCTCTGATCCCGCTTGTACATCACTGTCGGCGTCGCTCGTCAGCGACTCGGACGTTTGTGTGTGTTGCAGTTTTGGCGCTCATCTAAGATAGGTACTAACGATTTATTTGTGTCATATTAAGGATTTGTGTTAAAACTTCGAATTTAATGGCTTATATTGTTAAGCAAGGTGTTTATTTTAGGGAACCGATTCACTTTTAAGTATGATCTTAGAGGTTAATATCTAAAATATTTATTTCAAAAGTCCTCACTATGGGGCTAATCGGATCATGTCATCGGGGGCGAAGCGGATCACTATTTTAAACTGATTTATTACATGTTTGAGGTTATTGATTCATATTTATTTCATTGTAGATGGTTTGCACGTACAAAAGATAGACTGAGGCGGGAGAATTAATAGTCTCAAGAAAAAATGATAGAGGCTGCAAATAAAGTCCTGGCCAAACAGTTAACTTTATGTCGAACTGCTGAGATTTTCGAATTACCGTACACAAGCTTACAAAGAAGAGTATCTTTACTTAATATATAATTAATTAAATAAATATTAAATAAATAAAAATTTTTTACGTAGTAATAATAGTAATAAAATAGTAATAATAGTAATAAAAACAAAATAAATAAATAAATAAATAAAAAATAAATAATTTGAAACATTAAGAGTTCTTCAGCAAAACAGAGAGAGTGGCACTGTATTTACTGTTCCGAAATATTCATTCATCCACCATCAGAGGATTGGATTCAGTGCGAATTGAATTCATGCGAAGAATGGTGCCATGAAAAATGCACTAATATGGAAGGGAAAAAAGGATCGTACATATGTGATTTATGTGCCAATAATGAAAATTGATTTAAATTATTTATTATTTAAAATTTGTTAATGATTCTAAAGCTATTGTGTTAAGAAACTTCAAATTTAGTTGACATGTTATGTACGATCCGATTCGCCCCGAAAATTGGGGCGATTCGGATATTTTTATCTTTTTAGTTTTTAATTACTAATTAAGAGAATTTATGAATGTTTTAAGTTTTAAAATGTTTATTGCATAGATGATTAGTTACTGATTACCATTTCGTCAACAAAAAAGACATATGTTACACTTTAGTATGTTTTTTTTATTCTAAAAAAAAAGTGATCCGATTCGCCTCGGTCTACCCTATATATAAAGGCGTAGGCAAGGCATTGTATAAACCAATACCAACAGTGCGTCGGAAAGCAATAAAATAGTCAATGTGTAATAACATAAATTACAATTAAAAAATAAAATAAAATATTCCAAAAAATGTTTTCCTATTAAAAATGACTAGTGAATTCTATTCTTACTACTTTTTAAAAAACTAATCACTAAAACAACATTTGTTACAGTTTGATAGGACTGACATCACCAATTCGCAGACGCAGAATGTTGCAGCAAAACATTGTGGTTGTAAAGAACGCTGTGAAGCGTTATGGGAAAGAAGAGTTGGTGCTCGACGGATTGAATATGACGGTTTCAAACGGTTCCGTGTATGTAACCATTCTTTGTCTTGTCAACACAAAACATTATTCGTCTTCCTATTAATTTCCGTTTAGACGAATAAGGTTGCACGTAAATGTCACGAGTTTATCAAAAGAATCCCAGATGCTCGCTATAAGGAAGAAAACAATGCAGTGAAGATTGAATTGCTACTGATTAATATAATACTTCAGATTACTTGTGCAAATTTAAATATTGTTCCACAAACCTGAACCTACATCTAACATGTCATTTATGGATAACTGATACTACTTTCTTCATCTTTTGATAGAAGTTGCCTGAACTGTCTGTCATCACGCTCTTTCACGCATACCTTCATCAATTGCTTACATTGTCATCGTTTGTAAAATAGCAACCTCTTTAGGGAATGGTTTATAGGGTGTCACATTTTAAATGATCCACGCATATATCTTTTTGGGGAAGACGGCTAGCAAAAAATGACCTCAGCAAAAGTTGTTGCTTGAAGATTACGTGAAGGTCATCTTCAATTTTTTAAATAAAATCCTTATGGTTTAATATACTAACTTATTCTACCAATTAATATGAACTTTTGTCTGAAACATTTTTTATTTGCTTAATACTTTTTGAGATATTCAAGAGAAAATTCATAACTTTTTCAATATTTAGCTTATGATATCTCAATAACTGTTTGTCGGAGGGAAAAGTAGTACAGGACTTTTTTTACTTTATTTAGTCTCCGGATTTTGCTGTTGCAATAGTATTCCAATTATTAAAAATTTTTGTGTAATGTAACATACTATATACTAAAATTTACATAGGCCCAAGCAGTATCTCGTAAACGAAATATTTTCATCAAACAGATACACGCTGTTGGGGGCCAGCGGATGTGGCAAGACAACCCTGTTGTCCTGTATCGTCGGATTACGTTATCTCGACAGTGGAGAGATGTGGGTCTTGGGGGGATCTCCAGACAGTGTGGGCTGCGGAATTCCAGGGCCTCGGGTGGGTTATATGCCGCAGGATACCTCTTTAGTCGAACTGTTTTCTACAAGCGATGCTCTTTATTACTTCGGCAGGATCAATGGGCTTGACGATAAGGAGATCGGTAAGATACCGAATAGGTACATGGGATAAGAAAACTTGTAGTTGTTGCGCGCAAAATATCATGTAAATTCTGACAAGTTTTACTTTTACTTTTAAGTAAGTCTTTCAAGCGGTTCTAATTTTGTCTTGCTCGAAAGATATTCTACTATGTCAATTTTAAACAACCCCAGTTTATCCATGTTATTTCCAAGAAACGAGACATAGGTTTTTCTCGGAATTGTTCCAACTGCCTCCAGCAAATCAGTTGGTGAAGAACATGAGTGGAGGTCAACGAAGAAGGGTTTCCTTTGTCGCCGCATTGATGCATAAGCCCGAATTTCTAATTCTCGATGAACCCACCGTAGGTTTGGACCCAATTTTGAGAGACAAGCAAGTAGAATTGGCTCCTTTTTAGACGTGATAAGCACAAAATTTTAAGAAAATGTTTGGACGTTCATTTTTACAGCATTTGGGCTTATCTGATCAAACTAACACAGGAGGAAGGCACCACCGTATTGATGACGACGCATTATATCGAAGAGGCTAAACAGGCTAATACAGTGAGTCGCCATTAGATTTGTCTTAATAATATTTACGACTGTATTTAAAAAATAGCGAATTTCGTTTTAAAGAAAGCGCCAAAAATTTTGGAGAAATGTTTTTATGGCCTGGTTTACATCGTGCACTTGATATGAAATAGAGTACAACTGTACTTGAACTGATCGGCCAATGCGTGAACCAGTTTACTAGTTGTTACTATTTGTTATTCATATTAAGTGCACAATGTAAACTAGGCTAATTTTAATGCTATACTTAGCATTATTACGTTAACTCTTCCCTGTAGTGAATTAAAATTCTTATTGTAAAACATATTACCTCAGCCAGATTCGAAACTGGGACCTCTCTCAATCCGGCACGCAGGACAGGATTGAAAAAGACGGTATATGAATTCACTTACAAGTAACACTACCCAACTGATACTCACCGATTTGAATGAAACTTAACATACTTATTAAACATCGAAAAATATTAAATACGTGTTTTTTTGTTTCGGCTAAATACGCTTTTTAGGGGTAGAAAGCACCCCTCAACCCCTGGAGGTGGAAACGGTTATGGCTAATTATTTCTGAAACGATACATTTTCTGAAAAAAGTGCTTAGGACCAAAGTTGTAGAAAGCAAAGTGATGCACTTGATGGCGACCTTGAAGTCGTCCTTGAGGTCGATTTTCAAGGTCATTTAAAAATCATTTCATGTTTTTCAAAGGGAGTAATTTACTTTTCATTCTGAGAATCGATAGAGCGTAAAATTTTACATTCAGAACGTTGGTGATTTGTAAATAAAACAAGCTTTTGCAATTTAAAATTGTTCATTGATCCAACCAATTAAGGCAATATCAGTCAATAATTCGATCAATAAAGGAATTAAAAGTTAATTATTCATGAAAATAAGGCAAGATGTGATCGAGATCCAGCCAGTGAAGGCCAGATGTGATCGAGATCCAGTCAGTGAAGGCAAGATGTGATCGAGATCCAGCCAGTGAAGGCCAGATGTGATCGAGATCCAGCCAGTGGAGGCACAAGATGTGATCGAGATCCAGCCAGTGAAGGCAAGATTTCATAATTTCTTTTCATAGTCTGTGTATGGAGCATTTTTTGCGATAAAAGATAAAGCTATTCCTCGTTATTGCCATGAATATAAAGAATAATACCAATTATCATGGAATTTATACTCGGACTATGAAAAGAAATTATGAAATCTTGCCTTCACTGGCTGTATCTCGATCACATCTTGTGCCTTCACTGGCTGGATCTCGATCACATCTGGCCATTACTGGCTGGATCTCGATCACATCTGGCCTTCAGTGGCTGGATCTCGATCACATCTTGCCTTCACTGGCTGGATCTCGATCACATCTTGCCTTATTTTCATGAATAATTAACTTTTAATTCCTTTATTGATCGAATTATTGACTGATATTGCCTTAATTGGTTGGAACAATGAACAATTTTAAATTGCAGAAGCTTGTTTTATTTACAAATCACCAACGTTCTGAATGTAAAATTTTACGCTCTATCGATTCTCGGGATGAAAAGTAAATTACTCCCTTTGAAAAACATGAAATAATTTTCAAATGACCTTGAAAATCGACCTCAAGGTCGACTTCAAGGTCGCCATCAAGTGCATCACTTTGAATTCTACAATTTTGGTCCTAAGCACGTTTTTCAGAAAAAGTATCGCTTCAGAAATAATTAGCCATAACCGTTTCCACCTCCAGGGGTTGAGGAGTCCTTTCTACCTCTAAAAAACGTATTTAGCCGAAACAAAAAAACAAGTATTTAATATTTTTCGGTATTTAATAAGTATGTTAAGTTTCATTCAAATCGGTGAGTATCAGTTGGGTAGTTTTACTTGTTAGTAATTTAATTGGCCACCACTTATGCCAGGTCCTAAATGGCGTTTATGTTTCAAATTGATTTATATCTTAAAGGACCGAGTTAAAAATTAGTTGTTTATATAAAGAAGTCGCTGAAATTCCTATATAAGCTAGGTTTTCTTCTGAAGCAAGAACTATTTCTTCTTTTCGAGAACGCTGTGTTCTTCCTAATTGTAAATGTTACAAATTTGATCGTGCATAATATTGTATATTGTGGATGATACGCAGGTCAGTTTAATGAGACATGGTAAATTGTTAGCTGAATCGGCGCCGCAAAAATTACTGGAGAAATTTCAATCCTCGTCATTGGATGAAATTTTCCTGAAATTGTGCGAGGCACAGAATAATGCAGTCACTTTAACTGAAGATCAGGGATCCAATATGGAAGACACTGGTGGCGATGCCTTTAATCACGATCGAAACAAATATGAACAACTACAAGTATGTACGATTTTTATTGTTATAAAGAGCTTTGCAAATCTATATCATTTTAAGACACTAATAAGTCAAATTATTAAGGGAAACAAAACGGTTTCGAAAAGACAAGTTTCACGATTAAGAAGGTTCAAAGCTCTATTTGTGAAGAACAGCATCCAATTTACCCGTGATTACTCGTAAGTATTCATCATAACTTATCAATAATGCAGAAGGGACGCTCTTGTCAACAAAACAAAATTGAAAATTGTTTCAAATTCGAATGTTGCCTTTTCAAATGTTTCCTTCAATATACTTGTGTAGTACTAAATTGTCATTGAATAACGAGCTAGAGGTTATATTTTAATATTTTTAGTTTTTACCAATTGCAAATTTCATAAAACTAATAAAAATTCTTTCAGAATAGTAATTTTTGCGATATTAATACCGATATTCTCATGGGCTGTGTTACTTTTGGCAATTGGCGATGATCCAAAGAACTTGAATATCGGGATTGTTAACGATGAAGCTGGCAATTGCGACAGCAGCAACTTTGGCAATATTTGGAATGATGAAATCAGCTGTCACTTCAGCAACCTCAGTTGTAGATTTCTGAACAATTTGGACGACTCCATTGTGACACAGGTGTAAAAATTTAAAAATTAATCATGTAACATAGTTATTTAATGATGTTGTACATACAATATGTATATTAAAGTAGGATCAAATAAGCTTGCAAAATGCCTACTCATTGTCAGAGCGTATGTGGACGCTCTTTATTGCTCTTACCACACATGCAAGACGAACAAATTTATGTTTCAATCACAAGAGCTTACTCTAACGTTTTGCACGGGTAGGCTTTCCACTAACGGCTTCACTCGGCTAACGCACTGTTGCCGAGAGTAAATACAGAACAAAGCACACTCGAAAGTCCTAGGACTAGAAATATCAATATACAAAAGACACGACACATAAATATAATGTAGCGCGCACGGATGTCTTTAATGTATATGGTTAAAATGGCACTATCTGTATTCTCGGTATCCATTTGTCTGTCACCTATTTATTCCGATACACATTGGAAAAATTTTATTCAATATAAATTAATGGAAACCGATTAATTATCATTAACACGTTTATTGATGATTCTCATTAATTATATTGTGTTTTCAGAAGTACTATAACAATATTTCAGAGGCGAAATATGATGTTCAAAGAGGAGAACTTCATGGTATAATATATTTTCATCATAATTTTTCTGAAGCTTTAAAAATACGAGTGGAACATGTTACTTTCGCGAAGGATTCCGATCTTCTTGCTAGTCAGATTCAAGTTTTCCGTGATATGAGCGGTACGCTATATGATGTACAGAGCATTCTACAAATAGTTAAGAAATTTTATTAATTTGTATACGTGTATGTATCTACACACATACACAAACACGCGCGGGCGGTCGCGCGCGTACGTAGAGGAATGTATTTAAATAGAAAGTTTTATTATTTAAAAAACTACACAAAAAGGAATTTGAAAGATTAAAACAATTGCACGTACTAAATATTTTGACACGAACGACATGTAAAATAATAAATTTGTTACAAATGTTTAAATTTATAATGGCTTTTGTCACAGAGCTACAAATAGGACTTTTTCTACAGAAGCATCTATTTGAATGGTTTCTAGACGTTTTCAAGGCTATCATGAGTGACTGTAAATATTTGCCAAAAGTAGCCACTCCGCCGATACGAGTCAGTATATTTTATAACTTTCAATTTTATAAGTAAATCTCTTTCCATTTTTCTTTCTCTCTCCGTATACCTTGCGTAACACTACGAAGAAAATTCAATTTTCTATCCTTTTCAGTTTGAAGATCCTATATATGGTACTACTGATTTAAAGTATATAGACTTCGTGATACCATCAATTCTATCAGTGTAAGAAAAAGTCATGCCAACATAATAAATAAACTTAATCTACTAAACTACTTATAGTATTGTAATATGTTTTTGCAGAGTAGCCTTCAATATGGGCAATGTTGTCTCTTCCATCTTGATAATCACAGATCGAGAGGAGGGTGTCTGGAATCGAAGCTTAGTTCAAGGTATTAATTTTTTAATGACACTACGAAATAGAGTTTACGAATATTTCTTTGCCTTTGTATATTTTATGACATTAATGTGAACATATTGTAAATACGTGATAGGGGTTAAAGCAAAAGAAATTCTGCTGTCTCACATTGTTGTTGAGAGCATCATCACAATTATCCAGTCCATTACGATAATTCTCTTAGTCTTCCCTGTATGGGGTTTGGAATGTAAAGGATCGATATTGGTTATAATCTTCCTTTTCTTTCTCAACACGTTTTGTGGAATGATGTGTGGTGAGTACTCCACTCTGTATATCAAAAAGCGTACAGCAGCAATTCGGAATCTAATGAAAATTTCCTTGATTGTTTGTGTTAATGCATTTGCAGGTTTTGTTATATCTGCCTTTTGCACAACTGTTTCGTCGGCCATATTCTTGTCAATCGGAAATTTCTTAACGACAATATTAATGACTGGTGAGGCTTTACTCTATCTGTTTCTCGGAAATTACCTCTCACTTTAATTAGTTATTATATTAATTTTAAATTTAGTTTTTTATTACGTAATGATATATAAACAGTATACCTACAGTAATATATAAAACGTTTAAATAAAAAATATCAAAATTAACATGACCAATATACAGCGGATAATTATCTTCTTACGTTAATCGAATTTTTATTAATATACAAATTTGACAAAATTATAGGATCTTATTGGCCAACAGAGGCAATGCCGACATGGCTTGACTGGATTAGCTACATATGGCCAACTACATTGGCCTCCCAATCTTTCAGGGGAATCATTTACAAAAATTCTTCCATTTCTGATTCGGAAGTTTATATTGGTTTTATAACAACATTAGGGTGGACAGTGCTGTTCTTTGTCGTAACTATATTTGGTATGAAATTGAAATCGTAGTATTATTAGAGGTTTTTGTCTACATTATATAAATACAG